ATCATATGTCGGACTGTACGTGCTACCTTGAGTACAGTTGAGTAGTAGTAGACAGACGGAACTGGAGTTGATTAGAATAGATCTATCTATCATGTTAGTTCGTTTCTGAGAATAACACTTTTCTGCATATATGTGATTTGAATCAGTTTTATAAGCGGAATAAAATTGTGTGATAAATGATGATCAGAATAAATACAGTCAACATGTCACAATTCATTGATCACTGGGTGGTGATCATTGTCATGTGTGTCGAGTCCTTATTTAGTGCAGATTGAATGCTATCGATCATGTTGCAATGTGGCCACCAGTCTATGTGACTCGACATTGCGTGCACTATATATTGAGATCAATATGTGGTAAGAGATAGAGAGGGAGAGAGAATATTGTAATTACAAATCAGAATTTACGTAATATGTATAATAACATGAATTGAGTCAGATATAATAATAGAATAAGAGGGTTGGATATTAAATTTCATAATTTTTATTCCATTATTTTCTCTCTCTCTCTCTCACCCCATGTTAACCATATTTATTCTGATCATTATTTATCACCCAAATTCATTTGGCTTGTTAACTGATTCAAGTTAACAACTTCATATTAGTCAGCCCCAACAACAATTCTTAATTCACATAAGCAAGTTGATTTGTTGTCCGTAGAAACTGAGGTGTATGTTACAGGTGTTGCACTGTACTTAGCACTTCGGAAACAGGTATGTGAATTACTTCCTTAGAGAATTTTGTGGAAATAGTTATGCTGAATTGTGCAGAATACATGACTTGGTTAGTTGTTTAGCTGAAATATGTAAGACAACTAATAGTGTTTACAACCTCGGTTATTGTATTGGGAGTAGAGCGAACAATATAATATTTGTAATGTAGAAGATCCGGTTAATCGCGTATTGATGATGCTCAGTATTAATTGACAAGCCAGCCCCTAGACAAATCGTGTGAGCTTGGTGTGTGATTTGTGATAGATAACTAGTTTGTAATCCATGAGAGGGGTAATACTGCTTTCCAATTAGGGAGGTTGTTGGAAGGGGATGTACTGAAAGATTTGGAAACTTTTGAATATACTGTTATACTGTAGCTGATTTATACTACAGTCCCGAGAGGACAGCTGTTGCTATTGGTTTTCAAAATTACTGAATGAGCTATGACATATTGTGGTGTAAACATGAGTAAGTTTATTTGACTTTAACTATTACCAAGTAATTTGTGTATAGAATTAATTTTAAACTGTAATGATGGTGAAGCATTAGAATAAGCATTTAGTATTACTTTTTGTTATTTCACAAGTTATCCGATAGTTAGTTACATATTTACCATGTTTGTAAAATATCTGTAATATATATATTGATTGTTTGAATGTTGTGATTGACGTTTAGAACTGGGATGGACCAGTCAGTCTATTACTGGCATATGTGCATCCTGTGCGGATTGTCTGAATATATGACAAGTCAGAAGTATTGTTCTAAGCAGAGATGAGTAGTGGTGGTGGCTATCAGTGAAATACAGGACGTCGGTCACGTTGTATTTGGGACTGGTCTGCTTGATGTTTATGTGCACTCCGTGACTGGAACAAAATGGTGTTCGATCGAAACACTACTGCGTTGTCCACTTACCTACTGAGTTGAGACGCGATAAAGTTTGAAGTGGACGGTACAGGGTTGGAGTCCCAGAGTAGAAGTCAACTTGGATGCAGATACATCCAGCTATGTAAACCTGAATAGAACTAAACGCGTCTCTTGAGGTCCACTGTTAGCCACCATTCATTTCTGCTTATGTTTCGAAATAATTTTTTAAAAACCGTGCAATTCGCAATTATTTTGAAATTGATCTTGAAATTCTGTAAGATAAGATAAACTCATGTACAATGCTTTAAGCAATCAAATAAAGGAAAATGAAGGGAATATTCTGTTGGGTAATAAGGGTTGAACAATGGGGGAATGCGCCAAAAGATCTCCCTTTTTTCGCGTCGTCAGGTTTGTCTTTAATTTATGGCTTGATATTTATTCCTAGTTAGTACCATTTATTTAAGCTTTTTCATCAATGACATTGTCGCTAACTCAGCTTTCGCAGTGCCGACTCATCTATTACGCCTACTGCTTTACCTGGTGTGAATATGTAACTAGAAATATGTAACCAATTTATGACCTCTACTCAGGTCAATATTTTAAAGCACCTACAAATTTCGATCGGGATATTCGTTGAAAGGAAGGTTTCTTGTTTTATGAGATTTAATATGTGACTTCCTATCGTTGTTGTTAACCAGTCAATGTCTGTTGATATGTGTACATCGTGTATGTAAGGCTACGACAATGTCATTTTCGTCATAAGCTTTAGTAAAAGAAGGCCCTGGGTTCGAATCGCGCTCGCGGGATCGTGGATGCGCACTTCTGAGGAGTCCCACAATAGGACGAAACGGCCGTCCAGTGCTTCCAGGTTTTCAATTGTGATGGTCTAATATCAATTGGTTCAGGATCTCAATCAAAAACTTAATAATCTCCACAACCCCTATACTAGTAATATTAAAGTTGTTTATAAGTTTGAGATTCATGACACATATACGGTGTTGTCAAGTTATAAAAAATGAGTTGGTTGTGAAGAATTTCTTTACTGAAAAACATCTTTCTTGTGACTTAATCTGTGTGTTTAAATTAATATTGAGTCTGTCGTAAAATGTCACATATCTGCATAAAATCATTTCCCATTGTTTACAGTCATTTAGCAGCGACTGATTGTTGAGATGGTTGGAAGAATAAATAGGGACAATTCTCATTATTCGTGTTTTCATCTGCATATTTGATATGGAGTGGTAATCACAACATATATCTGTATTACAGGTGAAATTGAAGATGCCACAGGTATTCGGTGTTTGACATCACTTTAACCAGTAACACCTTCTAATATGAATCGTACCTACCAAGTGAAATCAAAAGACAGAATCCAGGAAGTTCGAAGATATATATGATAGGCTATCAATATATCGAGCGTCTTCTGATCTAATCTGGCTAGCGATTGCAGGGGTTGTTGAGGACGGCGTTTCCACTCGTGATTTGGTGCGGATGCATGACCGCTCGCCTTCAGTTAGATGAATCCATTAAAACTAATGTGGTCAGCATCGGATGTCGAACAGTTACAGAGCTATTTATTTTGGGGGTTTATTGACTGCTACAAAATTCTCATGTTATAGCTGGTACTAATATTTTAAAGAAGATAACTGTTTCACATGTACATGTGTTCCTCCTTTGAAGATGAATGTAGTGATGAATAATAGAAATTTCCTAACACTTTTTTTAGCGGAATTGTTAGTTGGATCAATAATTTATCGAGTTTAGGTAGTCATCATTCTTCGCTATCTTGTAATAAATCATTAGAAATTTTCATAACCCTTTTTATCAATGTGAATACAGCAATATACACACCCTTAGTCTTAATTTCGAACTTCTTTTGTAGAACATGATTGAGAAGACTGAGGATTTGAATACTTTGGCTAATGATTTAGGTCACATTCTGTCTGATAGTTTACGACAAGTAGATGGCGATTTCGATTTTGAGTTGTCTTTCACTGCTTCATCTGATCTCGACACTCGATTCACGCTGGTGCTCGACGAGAGTATGATACCTGAGTCCGACACAGACGATTCTATACCTGTTAAGAATGACTGGGTGAAGTTTGCCGCAATGGCGTCTGCATACGTCTACAAAAATGTTGGTGAATCGGTTTCCACATCTCTTCGAAAATGACCGGCGAATGCTGCCAGTGCTGCGATTCTCGCTGGACTACTTGCAGAAGTGGTCGAATCGTCTGATACGGATGAACCAACTACTTCTGATAGAGAGCCATCTGTCGAAAATATCTCTACACCTGACTTAGTAGTGAAGAATCGTCAAGATGGTGCCTGGCACTATGGAAGTCGGACCGTTGACAACGTTGCCAGCAGTTTGGAAATGGTGGATGTGATCGATGCTGAAATGACAGATGCATGTATTCGAGTGATGATTGCAGCTGTTGTCAATTATTTCCAAGAGAACAGATTCGTTCCGTGTGGTTTTTTGAAAGACAGTTATGCAAGTGCGATATTGAGAAGTGATCTCATGGATAGATATGGGTTGACAGACGAAGATGATAAAATTGAAGCGATGCATATCACTGGTAGTTGGGTCTCTAAACTGTATGTGTTTGACATGGCGACGAATCATCGTGATTTGGAACACCCAATCAGACCTATAAATAACATTGGTTTGGTGCGTCCTCTGAAACTAGATATCAGTGAGTGTTTCAAGGACTTGACAGCTGGATGTATACGTACACGAATAGCACATGAGATTGCCAGTCGAATGGTGCGATCTGTGTGTATAGTGTTTTTCGAAGATTTGAATGGACTGATTAAGTTACGGAAGCTGTACCGTAAAATATCCAGTGATCCATTTTATTATCACACTGACTGTGAATATTTGACGAAATCATCTCAACCGTCAGTCACTGACAAGACGGTTGGTCACCTATTTGACTGTTTTTGAACCGAATAGTGAACTGTTTGATTATCCACAGTTGAAGATGAATGGTAAAACTCAAGAACAACGCTATGGTGATTACAGTGAGAACTGGAAGAAGATACTGGAGTCGATTTATACAGAGTTGTGTATGCCAAGTGGAAGTGTTTTACTCAATTTATTTAAATTTATAAGCAAAGTTGTAGATAGGATTCGGCAAAATGAAAAAACTTTTGAGACAATGTTGGAATGAATATGGTGTCGACTCAGATATTTCCGATTTTATTTCCCGATTCTCATGTAATCGTTAGATGATTATGCTTGTTCATTGACAACTCGAGACTGTTACTAACAAATTGCAATATTATTCTTTTCATTCATAAAATCTTTTTTTTCATCTGTGATGTTGCTTTATGTTGTAGCGTGGCGTCGAGTCACGGTTGACTATGAACACCATTACAAGAAGACTACGTGCCAGTTAACCGATAAAATACCACCGTAAGCCAAATATCAGAGGGCAGTTGATGGCTGTAGTCGAGATGTATTTGTTGGCGATCTCGTGGTATCGAAAGGATACTGAGATCGTGCCAAAGGAGTACAAGCGTGGTTACCGAGCATAACCGAACTCGTGCAAGGTCACAATCGAAAGATAGTTAAGCAGTTATATGATTATCTTTAGCACATTAAAACAATCACTGGTACAATTAGTTATAATAGTGATTGTTTCCATTAAATGAATCGCGTTCTCTTGGTAAAAGTAGGTCACTACAATGTTTTCACTGTGGTTTTGTTGTTAACATATAGGTAATTGTTACAAGCACTTTCGATATAAATAAGTGAACTGAAATTCAGATGATTTCAGTATTATCCATCAGAGTTTCTCAAAACTTAATTCATGGTATACTCATTGTTACTTTAAATCTGTCATGACATTTGATTGTTTTAGTCGATTATATCCATACTGTTATGCTAAGTGTAATTGTGCACAAAGTAAATACTCGGTATTTTTCATGTATTAGTAATTCGTAGGATTCTCCTAAATATTACACCACGTTCAAGTTGCTTAAATCAACTGACTGAGTTACTGGGACAATGTATGACATAGCAAACTATAAATCAACTGTAAGGTTTAAACAAATAGTCAATCAATAATGTGAAATGATTGATGGGATGATAAGAGTAAGACTAATCTAAGTTTAGTGCGGTATATATTTATAATAACATTTTTATTACTTTGATTATTACCTAAGCTAATTGTGTAGATATGCTTACAACCTATTACTGAGTAATAGGTGTATTTGCACGAATGTGTAACCATCTTAGCTGTCATTTGCATAGATTGGTATAACCAGGGAGATAGTTAAGCATATTTCCCACAATGGGAAGTTTATTTTAAAATGGACCTATTGAAATCGTACATAGAAAAGTATGAAGTAGTTTTATAAATCATAAATACTCAGGTATCCCCGTCTCTACGTTGCCGATCGTCGGTTATGTCGTTGAAAGTCATCGTCAGATAGTTTCTCAATAATAATAATAATAATAATAATAATAATAATAATAATAATAATAATAATAATAATAATAATAACCTATTGCGTGAATTTACGAAGTTGATTATTTGATAGCTTACTGCTCGTGGAGCGTCGACCGAAGACCAGGATTATCCAATCGACTGACGTAGGTACTACATCCCAGTCGTTTCGAAATGCTGTCCAACTTTTTGATGACTGCCCCCAATTCCCAGTATTATGTGATTTTAGGTCTGTATTTAAAGTGTGTAACTATATATCGTGTTGTGTATGCATGCTCATGTATAATTCACATTAGGTGTGCATAAATGCTGGGATAACCATACAGACTACTTACTATAATATTTACTCATGTGTATACAGTTATATATCATTAAATTATTTGAATGAATAGCATAGAATTTAAGAAGGAATTGAATAAACATTCATAAATTCCACCTGTTGAAACCCATTAATCTTATTTAATTGAATGTATTAACAAACCTGAAGCGACTTATACTTCTAGTTCATCATCAATTAAATTTAAGGTATGATTCACTGAACTGAGGATAAAAATTTGAATAAAGTAGTCACAATTAAAATCATCAAAACTATCGGTCTAATCCAAAGTTGTAATCACCGTAGTAATCTATCCTAACTTTCAATGTCTAATCTGTAATTTTTTAGGTGCAAATACCTCATGGCTTATTTTTCTATTGACTAGTCACACATGTTGGTGTCAATAAATGTGAATGAAGAAGTCGGTAATATTAATAAATTGCTCATTTTTAACCTCTTAGAAACAATGACTATCGTATTAGGCACTGATGGTAATGCCAACAAATGGGGCGTTGGGATTGTTCGTAATGGTTTAGTGCTTGCGAACCCGAAATCCATATGCATTGCTCCACTTAATGAAGGCTTTCAGTCGACAGAAACAACTATATTTCATCAGTCATATTATTGAGCCCATTCAAAAATAAGAAATTGATCCTCCTAAATTGGATGCCATTTCTTACACTAAGGTTTGTGATGATATGGAGAGACGACCAGAAGTAGACTAATGAGAAGATCAATCGACAGCAATAAGAAATGAGTGAGAAATGGATCAATTAATTTCGTTAGGACTAGTGTGGTATATATATATGAACGAGCATTTGTGCATTTTATTCGGTAGCCCAATGTACTTTCTCCATCACCATAATGTCCTTGCTCAAGTGGTCAGTAGGAGGGGGGCGGGGTTACCGCATAGCACATTGTGTATTAGTACCAGATTTCGGACACCGCTCGTCTCATCAGTTTGTTTGAACAAATTCACACAACTACACATGATAATCTTTCTAAATAATAAAATTAATTATGTTTTGTCACCATAGTTCTGAAAGATGTTTCAATCATCTTAGTAGTATACCTTCATTTCGGGGTATCTATTTCCTATTTTATTTCATTTAAACACAAATATTGGTACAACTGGGAACCAGGTAGATAGATATACGTCCTGGAACAAGAAAATAAGATAATGAATAGTCAGAGTTATAAATGAGTAGAAATAAGTGAACGAGAGTAGTGTATAATAGGAAAAGCAGTTCATTGTAAAAATACAACCAGAAATAATCTTATAAGTTAAAGAAGTCCCTCCCACTTTTATAATATTTGTACACAACTACAGCAGGATTGCTGTTAGTTCTTGTTATAAGACATGTCTGATTACGTCTCAAGTCACTGAGTTGTACTGTTTCTCAAACTCCAAGTGGAGATTCCTGATGAACTGACAGGTGCAAATCCTATGCAACATTCTTACATACCTCGACGCTTTGTCACGAAGTAACCCTCTCTCCGTTACTCCAAAGTGCACGATTTAGAATTCGCTGAAGCCACTTTTGTAAAACATGTTTAACTCTTCGTAGCCTGTGTTTCAAGGTGGGAGACACAAATTAAATTTTCGTCACTGTACCCGAACGTCACTAACGCGGTTTTGCCATTCAGTATCTATATTACTTTAGAGGCAATGATAATCAAACGCAGAGAGTTGTCTTGTATCCTCAACTCGGACAGATCGGGTTTAATAAGCATGAAACAAAACTGCTCTCTGGAACGCTCTGTAGATCCAATATATCTCTATCGGGATATTTCGATTTTCCTCAACACCAGTGCTGTTTTCTAAGTCGGTTTCTTAACGCACTCCACTCGTTGTTCTACTTCCACAACCTTAGTTCCATCTGTTTTTCTAAAACAAACAGCTATATCGTACAATGTATATTCGCTCTTTTGTTACTTATTGAATTAACATAGTTGCATATAAAATCCCCAGTCACATTTTATTTAATTGTGCTAACTATTCAGGACACACCATCTGATAAGTCTTCTTTGGTATTTAATATGCTGCTGCTTTTGTTTTCATCCATCTGCTTCCAAATGAATTGCTAGTGTAATGAAGAAGAACACGAATGTGCACAATTGAATGTATTTGTAAACAGAATCTCTTCGTAAAATCTGCCATCTATAGAGTAAATACTTCATTTGCAAAATATCAGTCAATCGTCTCCGATTTCATTGTTCTTCCGTTTCCACACCAATCATCCTCTGTTCTCCTTCTCCTTTCTTCAATCTTAACCTTCTGCCTCCATATATTTCACTTTCGACTGATGATACATACTACTTATATCTGTCGATATCAGTAGCACACATCGCAACAGTGCTAAATCATTTGTTGCAAAAACGGTTCAAGTCACTTCGATCATTTAGAATTTTAAAACTCTAAACCGTGCTTGCACCAAAAAATAATCAAAAGTTTACATTGATATCATGAATGGATCAATGTTAAACCACCATGAAGAACTTGGTAGAGAGCTTGTGTCATCTTTACTGTGATGAACTAAATCATCTAATACCAATGAGATCAAGCAAGTGACCAATCGAATACAACACCTAATAACCGGTCGAACCAACTAATATAATAACATTCAAACATATATATGTGTATTTAAACCAAGTGTTTCAAGTAACTAACATTTAGACTGGAGAGAGGTGTTTGTGCGTAGACTGTCACATGTGATGATCAACCATGGTACATGCTCTTCATAGGTGGTATAATAAGATGATAAAGTAAACAAACAAATTGTTACTATCCCACTACTAACACTATCCCTTGATTAAGTTAGTTGGGAAATTCATTAGCCTGATATTTCATTAACTGATATTTCAAATGCTTGTCAAAAATGGTTACATTCATAATGTCTAGATATAGTTCAGGTTTCATATTACGGTTAACAGTATTCCAAATGTCATTTGATACAATTAACTTTGTTCGTATTAAACTGTATAATTGAGATAGACATTTATTTTGTCAGACGACGTAGGCTTTTACTTTTACACTTAATGTAACCAATACTTCAAATACTTGTCAAAACTTGTTATTCAACAATTGTAAAATGTGATCAATAAACGAACCCACCAATAATAAAGGGAAACGCCCACCACCACATTAACTCCTTTTGACTTTGTACGACTGTATCTTTTTATTAACCAATCACAATTTGATTGATGTTCATTGTAAAATAATATTTGCTTGTTGACTCATTTTTCCTATACTCTGGTTACTGTTCGGTATGTTATTTGTCTCTGTTTTTCCCTGTATTAATAGACCGTACTGTTTGTTTGTACACTAACGATGTTAATTTATGTTTTAGAAACAGATAAAGTTTATCTAGCCAAATTAGCTTGCTTGTTCTGACTTTGGCTAAACCAAGACTCTGTATTCGACGGTTTAGAGATTAGCTCAGAGTTTAGTCTGTAGGAAATTGCTTCCTACAACAATATTCCGCTTGTATTTTCAATAACAGACATTTACATTTAACACTGCAAACAAATTCAGAAGGAGAAACACAAATTGGATTGGTTGAAGTTAGACATTAACACCATTGGATGCCGGCTCAGTAGTCTAATGGTTAAGTGCTCGCGCGCGAAACCAGTAGGTCCTGGGTTCGAATTCCGCGAGGTGCGGGGTCGTGGAGGCGCACTGCTGAGGAGTCCGGTAGCGGGACGAGACGGCCGTCCAGTGCTTTCAGGTTTTCCATGGTGGTCTAGCTTCAATTGACTCATGATTTCAACTTCTGAAACACGAATTATCATCATGATAATTAATTAATGTTAAATAAAGGGAATAATAATAATGAATAAACATAAGTTGTGGTGTGATGTGTGCTACTCATGTCGACATTAGTAGTATATAACGATAGGCTAGAATGAAATTTCTAGCAGCAGGACATTGAGAAGATCGGAGAGGAACGAATGGGAACAGAAAGTAGTTGGTATGGAAATGTAGGGACAATGAAGTTTGAGACAATTGATTGGCAATTGTTCGGTGACACATTTAGATCAATGATATTAGTTTCACTTTTATTGATAGACTTAAAAATCCCGGCAGTCAAATTTATGGATTTAAAACTAGATAACAATTCATTTCAACGTACTTTAGTAAGATCTAGTACTTACACCAATTACACCTCGTGGAGGAGCGTAGGTCACCCACCAGGATTAATTGTAAAACAAAAACCATTAATTTCTTAACTGATCAGCCAAACTTTTTAAAAATCATTCCGTGTTTTCTTTCTATATCTAATCTTAATATAACTATTCATTCACTAATCTATCTAAAGTAAATAACTTGGTCTATAGGATTCGATCTTCTTAATCGTCTGCCTCCATGCCTTTCACTTTCGATTGATGATATATGCTACTTGTATATATCTCGATATCAGTAGCACACACGATAATAGTATTCACAATGGTATTGTTAAAAAAACACTTCATTTAAGTTGTTCATTTACATCAGTTACAGTCATAAAGAACTGATAGACATTTTACCGATCAGTTTAATAACATGATCACAAAAATTTTACATGACGGAATGATTGATAAATCATTCATCATAAACGAATTAAGTGAATGACATCATAGGCTAAACATCAGGTAAAACCATTCAACTGTATCAGTGTAATTTGGATTCTAGATAAAGTGAGTTTCAACTGTCGACTGGATACCTTCATCAAGTGGAGCAATGAATATCGACCTCAGGTTCTGAAGTACTAAACCATTACGAACAATCCCAACACCCCATTTGTTGGCGTTATCCTCAGTGCCTAGTGCAATAGTCATTGTTTCTAAGAGGTTGATATAAGCAAGTTATTAATGAGATCTGACACTTGGATTATCATAACTCATAGTGTAGTGAACATGAACACAATTGCAGACAATCGAAAGTATTTGAATACAACATTACAGAATCTGTTTGTTAAATCTGAGATCTATAGAGAGTTAATACTTCATTTGTAATCATCTCAAACTTCATTGTTCCTTCGTTTCCATACTAATCATCCTCTGTTCTCGTTCTTTTTTCTTAGGTCTTCTCAACCTTCCTTCTGCTTCCAGTCATTCCACATTCGTTTAACGGTATATACTACTTATATACCTGTCTATATCAGTAGTACATACCATAGTAGTTGTCATTTTCGTTTTGTAAGAGGATGGCAAAATGTCTGTCTGATTTTATCTTTTTATTGATAAGCATGAATTGTTTCGCTGTATGTTTTCTTTGACGGAAATCCAGTGTAAATACTGTTAGCCTACAGAAAGGAAACCTCCTCAACGTATTCCTTGTCAACCATTTCTAATCTGTCTCTAAATGTATACTCTCAAATATTCTCATAAAACTATTATGTAATATGGATTGCATTCATCTTACATGTAAAACCATGTGTTTTTTGTCAAGTTGATTGTATAGTTAACTTGGATAATCATCATTCTGATCAAAATGAATAAGTCATTTTATGTATCCAAGTAATAATCTTGTCAAAAAACAAACATTGATTTAAAATCGACTGTGAACTTGTTTATCGTTTTCATAGCTCTACATTCATATATACGGGTATATATGGGTATCAAGTAGCATGTCTACAAATAGATTATGTATTGATAAGCAAAGATGGATAGTGACTAGTACTGGAATCGAAGAGTCGCGTTTCGTCCTATCAGTAACTAAATGTATGACACGACGGCATTTAAAGCGAATGATACTGAGTTCGAGTGCCAGAGTGAACATCAACTCTGAGATACAGGTACATCCAGCTGACGAGTTCCAAATAGGATGATACATGTGTATCAAACTGGATCCCACTGCTAATCATTATTCATCTTCGTTTATAAAGCTTATGACTTCAGACAGTAACGAGGCAGTTCACATAGGATACACATATGTCAACAAGAGACTATTCAATTGCAGTTCTAAATAACAATGGGAAGATACAAGTAAAACAACACCAATTGAACATTATATATTTCTTAAAATGTATTGTCTCAATGATGATTTGAAATTTGACTAACATTAATTATAGTTACTTAATCAGTATGGAGATTTGTAGAGATCGTAGTATTTTCATATCTGAATTCACAAGTCGATCGATCTAAGCTAGACTACCATTGAGAACCTGGAATCATTTGACATCTGTTTCTTCGTAGTATGGGAATCCTGCTGAACAATGAACATCACATAAACATCGTTGGATGCCAGCTCAATGGTTTGCAGGTTAAGTATTCGTGTGTACGGGATCGAATCAACACATTTTCTACATCATAAACCGATCCTGAAACAGCTTTATTATCATTTAATTATTATTTTTCCTTTGCATTGATGAAACCAATTTACACTAAAGCTCCGTCAGGTATATCACAGTCTGAACTAAGATGATGGTCATTTAACGATGAATGCAATACAATACATAAACATTCATGCCCTTCTTTTTGCCTTAGTGAGTTTATTCATAAACTGGTACATGTTTTCAAATTTACTGATCTGTAGGCCTTTGGGCTTGCAACCAACATCTTAACTTATGTGAATTATTGCAAAGACATTAAATGGTCATCTTTGTATGGTGAGTAAAGTAGATTTTGATATTTTGTCAGTCAAATCCCTTATTTAACATTAATTAGTTATCATGATGGTAATTGGTGTTTCTCCTTCTGAATTTGTTCACAGTGTTAAGTGTAATGTCTGTCATTCAAAATACAAGCAGAATATAATGTGATTGATTGATACTAGTGAAGAACTCATTCATATGAATCACCAACTAATCTGAATGGTCGTCTTATCTACAATTTTGTCGTTGAGATCATACTTTAATTGAATGCACATATGGTACGTCTGATCAGTTTGTTTACTGTTAATCTTGTCAAGCCCTTCCACTAACTTATTTACGGACAGTCGAGCTTGTAGTAGTAGTCGCAGTAGGACAGTGAAAATTTGTATATCCAGTCATTATGATCATACCCATGATGAGCAAATAAGCTAGATCACAACATGTGTGACAGCCTACGCACAAATACCTCTCTATGGAGGCTAAATGTTGACTGCTTGAATCACTCGATTAATATATAAGCTTGGATCTTATTACTTCATTCGATTTTGTATTGGAGTAGACAGTAGCTCCTGTAGTCGTTCGCATTGCTATTTGGAGTTACGTGATAACGGTTAACTAGGGCGACGAGTGATATAGAAAGCCTATGGAATTATTTCGTAGCTGAGCGATCACAAGGTGAACTGTAAGTTTCATCTGTTTAGATGAATTGAAGTTGTTATGACGAATAGCACTGGTTCTATGTAACTTAGATGTTTATCACTGTCTTTTCTTTTTATCATTTGAATGACAATATTAATATTTATTGAATAACTTTTGTCGTTTGAGACCAGTTGGTAGTCTGTAGTTATTGGAGATCGCACTTTTCTATGCATGTTACGAGATTCCTTCAAATAATACTCTCTGTATTTTCGGAGTGCACGTGCTACTTTGATTACAGTTGAGTAGTAGTAGTAGGCAGAGAGAATTGGAGTTGACTAGAATAGGTCTATCTAACATGTGAGTTAGTTTCTCAGAATAACACTTGTTTGCAAATATGTGATTGTCGAGTGATGATGAGGAGAATGATGTTGTTGATAGACAAGTAGACTAATTTGATTCAAATTAAGAGCAAATCGTGTATATTTAATTATACTTACATGAACCATAAACCACTTAGCAATACCGTATAGCTTTAAACAACATTCTCTTCGATAAGAAGGATTGGAGCATCCGTAATTCAACCGACCGGTATAGAACTTCCATATTTTGGAGATGATCATCGTTCCTTGTAATACTTGTGGTTGTGTTTCGTTAATTTGATTGCATACATGTATTTAGCACTTCCGAAAGATGTTGGACTTTAACTATTACAAACTAATTTGTATATAAAATTAATTTTAAACTGTAATGATTGTGAAATATCAGAATAACCATACGATAATAAGTATTCGTCTGATCCAAGTACAGTCAGATCTAGGGTCACCTAAACCTCACAACTGTTTAGTATTTATTGTACAGTGAAATGCGTTTCAAAACAATCTAATATCAGATCCTGTTTATATTAGAGTAAACAGAACTGTTATATCCGAGCGAAGATTAAATTACAGGTAACTCCCGAGGACTATTAGTGGACTAATATTCTATAAATATTCTTATTGTAAAACTATTCAATCATTAGATTATGTATATTTATATCCCTCTTATTATAAGCTTTATTTTGATCTATAATTTATTATTGTACGATTTACGGTTCTTAAACTATGTTCAGTCTATTAATTACTGTCCCCCTCGTTCACAGCCACTTTTTGGCTTATTTGTGTACATATGTTATTTCCTAATTTATGGTGTGTTGTGGTCTGTCTGTTTGATATATAAACCGAGTATGTTTGAAATAAACGATCTGCTCTGATTCGAAGCTGGTATTGTGTTCTGGACTCAAGTGGAAGGGCTCGGGAGACATAGGACCAATAAGGACGCTAGACTGTCCACACCGGTTGAACGTCATTGGTTGGCCTAGTGTGAAAATTCGTATAAGTCGTACCCGGATTGGTAGATAGGTCGCGTGATAGCAAAAAGCAGACATACTCAAGGTCATAACAATTGGCGACGGGGATTTTGAAAAAAAAAGCGATTCAAGGTCATAGCAATTGGCGACGGGGATTTTTGGCAACAAAAAAAAATATACTACAAGTGGTGACTCAGATTTTGTAAATAAAGCAGCTGTTATAATTGCCGGTGATTTTTGGAGCTAATATTATTGGCAGTAAAAAAAATATGTCGATTTCTTTAGAAAAGTTGCGGTTAATATTACAGCACCAGCAGAAGATGTTGGCCTTGCAACAACAGCTATTTGAAACAGTTTTGGGCAGACTTTGCATTCAAGCAGAAAACAAGAAATCTATTTATCATGCAGATAATGGTGCAGAAATGGACATTTCAGAAGCATATCCTGTGCAGGGTTCAAATCCCTTTATACCTGAATCAGAACGTAATATTTGTAACGTGTCCGGCTCAGAGCAAGAAAATACTGTGCTGAATGCTCATGAAGTTGTGACAATACCAAATGATCAAGAGCCAGACCCTGTAGATGAAGCCGGAGTCCAGAATTGAATGAAGCACTACTGGTCCTGTCTAGCTCTGAAAATGAATTTCAGCTAGAACAAAATTATGGTCCACGTGATATTAGCCGAGAAAGCTATGGGGACTCATTCAGAAAATAACTGCAGTGACACGATGAACCCAATTATACCGAATATTACTCAAAATCATTGTGAGACAGAAATTTATATTGAATCAGCTTATCCGATATCTAATGACAAGGTAGCAGATATGGGTTCTCAGAATAATGCATGTAATTTTGATGAAATTTTTTATAAAAATGAGAAAAAAATATCGGCTGAGTCAAATTATGGTCAAAAGTCTAATGTAATTTTGTTAGATGATGATTTCCGTAATTATCCATTATTCATTGATGAAATTCCTGATGGATTTGAAAGTAATGCTTCAGAAGAATTAAACTTTGACCTCAAATCAAAGGTCGTTTCAAGTGGATCCGACATTCAATGCGAGAAACGTCGTTTAAATAATGTCCTATTATTTGTAACTTGGAGATATAAGGACCCAACATTATTTCGAGGAGGAGGAGAATGTTGGAGAATTCAAAGTTACAAAAAAATTCTTTTTTTTTAAATCCGAATCTAAACATGGAATCTTCGAAAAAAAAGGGGAGGTGTTATATCCGAGCGAAGATTAAATTACAGGTAACTCCCGAGGACTATTAGTGGACTAATATTCTATAAATATTCTTATTGTAAAACTATTCAATCATTAGATTATGTATATTTATATCCCTCTTATTATAAGCTTTATTTTGATCTATAATTTATTATTGTACGATTTACGGTTCTTAAACTATGTTCAGTCTATTAATTACTGTCCCCCTCGTTCACAGCCACTTTTTGGCTTATTTGTGTACATATGTTATTTCCTAATTTATGGTGTGTTGTGGTCTGTCTGTTTGATATATAAACCGAGTATGTTTGAAATAAACGATCTGCTCTGATTCGAAGCTGGTATTGTGTTCTGGACTCAAGTGGAAGGGCTCGGGAGACATAGGACCAATAAGGACGCTAGACTGTCCACACCGGTTGAACGTCATTGGTTGGCCTAGTGTGAAAATTCGTATAAGTCGTACCCGGATTGGTAGATAGGTCGCGTGATAGCAAAAAGCAGACATACTCAAGGTCATAACAATTGGCGACGGGGATTTTGAAAAAAAAAGCGATTTAAGGTCATAACAAGAACAAACGGGATAGTGTTTCACGCTAAATGTAAACGTCTACGTGGTCGATTTTCTGTTAGCAATGGTTTTTAAGGGTAATAATTTTTGATGTGATAGGGTGAAAAGAGGAAAATCCTATCCGTGTGAAAATTGACCAGTATGATATTGATTATTTATTTGAACAGTTGAATTTACGACTAGGTGATGTGAGCTAGATCAAAGGTGCTGGGTTGCAGTTCGTAGTCCGGATGAAGGATGCGCGCTGCTGAGGAATCAGTCACTTAATAAGACGAAACGGCCGTCCAGTGCTTCAATGGTGGTTTTCTATGTTGATGGTCTAGCTTAGCTTAAATCCTGAATTCAACTGTTAAAATAATACAATTTCTACAGGTCGTCTTACTGATGATAATGATATATTGATATTAATTAAATACTACTGCAAGTGTGATTGTCAACTTGACTGACTACATTGTGTATGCATGCATATAAGATTTTGATTTATATTGAGGGTCAAGTAAATCCTTATCACCCACCAGTCGTCGTATTTGCGGTTTTCAGTAGCAAGTGCAAGTTAGTTAAGGATAGCCGCAGACAAAACAGTGACAGATGTAATAATTTCCATCTTGAATTCTTTTAATTACTAACTAATCAATCTTATCATACTGTAATGTAATGAGTATTGTAACTTTGGAAAATTTCTCAGTAGGTTTTCACTGTCGGTGGTGTTGGTTGCAGTAATGTGTGTGTACAGGAAATGACGAACTTGATGACAGAAGGGTAATATGCGAAATGATTGGCAATTGATGGGAGTTTATTGCATTGATTGATAATGGTGGTACGATGGCACGTAATGGTGGATGCCCTGGTGTTTGATGCCGATTTAACTTGATCCGTGGAAGACTGTCGTCATCTCTCAACGCTATTGCACAGATGTTGTTGATGCAGATTGACGTGATGAATGATAACATGTGTATATGTATATATTTTAAAATATATTGTTATTCTGATGACTCGATATTTTTCGATTTGAAGTGTGCTTAATTGTTTATCCTGTCTCTAGATAGGTAGGTAGGTAGGTGATCAGGTTTGGTAGTAGGGAGATAGATAGGCAGAAAGATCATTATTTTTTGTCTGTAGAGTCAAATTCATCTCTCTACTCATTCGCTTTCATTGTAGTTGGTCCAGGATTATTGATTGTATTTCGGTTTATGCAGTAGGTAGTAAGCTGCAAGTCACTTTAGTGACAAACTGTTTCATATCTAGTGTAATAAAAGTAAGCCTATGAATAGAACAATAGTAGTTGGAGTTATTAAGGAAGATGAATTAGTTTAGGCAAAATAAAAGCTTAGCAAATGAATGGGTTTAGTTTATCACCTTATAGAATTACTGTCGACCTAGTTATAGTTATTTACTGATGAATTGTATTATAGGTATTAGGTTATCCACATCATATCTATATGCGAATGTTTTCTTCTACCCTTACATTTTTGTTATTGTTTTTAAAGATCCCCATACTCGTACCATGTTGTTTTATTTATATCTTTTAGAAGAGATGGGTATCCGAGGGTTGTGGACGTATATACGAAGTAGCGGTGGAAACTTATCCGTGTACGAATTGCATAACCAACCTTTAGTTATTGATGCTGAGAACTTTGCTGCTGTATGTTATCGTGAAGCTGCTTTGCGATGTGAATTTGGTGGAGAGTATTTGGCATTTAAGAGTTATGTGCAGTCATTGTTAAAAGAGTTTAGTATCTGTGGTGTGGAGCCAATTTTCGTTTTCGGTGGATGTCATCCGAAAGAGGTATGGTATGAGATGGTGTGGTATGGTATGCTGCTTACATTATCATAGTACTTTGTTTTCCTAACTAACTGCTTACATATTTTCGAGTTCACTTAAATGTTGAGGCATTTGTGTAGTATAGATTTTATCACTATTGTAGATGATATTCTGATTGATTGAAGGAATTGGTGCATCTTAGAGTAGTTTATTATTGTGTATACGTTAGATGCCTAATAACTGATTTGATACACATAGTTCACTTTATCATTTTGAAAAGAGGGAGAACTGAAAGATTCGAGCAGAATAACATGAATTCGTTTTATTTCGTCTGGTTCTCATCAGCTGCTTACAACCTGTGATAATTCGGAATCATAATTACGTGATGAGTCTAAACGACTTACATGAGAGAGTTTTGTTGGATGGAAGTTATATTGAAGACAGATTAGTGTAGTATAGTATAACAAGGGTGTAAATAAATTGAATAGACTGAATACAAGTGACTATGTAATGAGTAAATGCTGATGATTAGAATAAATTGAGTTGAGCTGAGTTGATATAAGAATAAGATTATGAATTTGGAAGATAGTTGAAATATAAATGAATGATGCAATAAATGCAAGAAAGAGTTAAACAATGATGAGGATAATAATAATTATTATTATAGGATGCAGTGAAGGAATATTTGTCACTAAGACAAGGCATGGAAAGATTAATAACCATCTCGTTTTGAATTTGAATACATAAGTCAGACTTTTGACGCCTGATAACACTGGCTTCAGTTGAGCAAACTTGAGAAGACTGGAATTTGGCTGTTTACTTACTAATCACCTTGAAGATTGCGAGGTATCGACCTGATGTCCTGTATCAAGGAGATGTTTGGTGATGGCATTGTTTAGAGTGTTTCTTTCTCTTGTGGTGAGGATTTTCGGAACATGTTCAAAAAATCTGAAATATGCCCTCCTTTCTGTTCGAGCAATGTAGCTGCTTTGGCAGGTACACGTAAATCCATATATAGTTGTCCAATACTACAGTTGCCTAATTAATTAAACCATCAGAAAGTGTGTTTGAAGTGCTATCGTCTGCACATAGAATGTTCACTTGACTAATGTTATTGTTGCAAAATTCCAACGATTATTTTGTTTGTGTATTAAGGCTTTTTCTTCAACAAGACATTAAACACTGTTTTACATTGAGACTCGAGTTATGACATCTACAAATGAAGATGTTGATGCAGTCAGTCAGTCACTTGTATACCTGGAAGTCTACTTCATTATTGTGAGGATAATTTGTTTATTAAGCATTCAATTTAAGAAATTTCCCAGTTGAATTCAGGAGTCAATCTAAGCTAGACGACCACCACCATTGAAAACCACGATTGAAGCACTGCTCTGTCGTTTCGTCCTATTGTGTGACTGACTCCTGAGCAGTGCGTGTACACAATCAGCCAAATATTTAGTGTTATTCGAGGTTTTATACGTAGTGATAAACCTTTTACCACCACTCGAGATATGATTTCATTATCACCTTTCAGTTTATTGATATATTTCTCGGGGTGATGGTCAATTATTCACGACCGAATGTGATGAATAAAGAGACACATAACACCAAACATCTTGAGCCATATTTTTTTCAAGTTTGTCACATACAGTGATTGATTTTATAAATTAACTAATGAACTTTTTTCGCTTTGTTTAGGGAACAAAATTGGATACTTTGATGAAGCGGAACAAGGAGTACTTTAAACAACTCTCATCGGCTCTTCTGATCGCTAAGTCAACTTACAGCACAGAGTTGAAAATCGATATAGCTCCACGACTTAACAGAAATGTTCTCGTTGAAATTCTGCGTGAATCTTCAATTCGATACGTAGCATGTGAACGTGAAGCTGTTATTAGTACAGCAGAACTTGCTGTTTATCTTCAATGTCCTGTTACCAGTAATAATTCTGATTTTTTTATTTATCGACCAAATGATAATAATCAAGTGTATAATTTTATTCCATTTTCAACCATTTCACGTTATTCTATGAAGAGATCCGTCCCTTGTTCTATTTGTAAACGGAATGGTGTTCCGTGTTATTTCATATCGTGTTCAATTCTTAATAATTCAGGACCATTTTCTAAACTCAAGTATCCTATGTTACCACTTTTTGCCATTCTCATTGGTAATGACATGATATCAAATATTCGCCTTCCAACTATCATCGATTCACTAATCCGTACTTCCAACCTACGTAGCAGTTCCTACTATCAAATACGTATCGATGCTATATTTAACTGGCTGTTAAGTTTCCGTGACATGGAAGAACCATTGTCATTGGTGTTGTCACTTTACAGCAAAAACGAGAGGGATAGTATTGAAAAGACAATCCGTTTGGGGATTTCGGATTATGTTCTAAACAGTTCAGGCGAAAACCTGGCTCGTGAATTAGGCTTTTCGACTAAACACAATATCTCATTAAGTGTTTCATTGTCAAGCAAGATGGGAAATCTGAACATTCAGGATCCCACAACTTGTCGAGGTTCTTACTGTGAAGATGTTTGCAAATTTTCTAAACCTGTATTGGAGAGAAATGATGATGATGAAGACAGTATATTTCACCGTTGGCCGAAAGAATTGGTTAGGCGATTTATATTTCTGGACTTAACTCCATCCCTATTTGACCACATGTATGTACGAAATGGTGCTTTTTCTCGTCTAGTAATGGAGGACATAAAGATTCCTAATTCGCTTGATGAATGTATGTCGAAGATGAGAAGTGCTATAAATGGACTTATATATGGACTTGAAAACCACTTGGGCACCAATGGAAAGTTATGTGGGATGGAGAATGAGTGTGTCACTGAGTATAGAAGAAACGTGGATGGTGATTTGACGAAGATTTTAATTTCGGTGAAGCCTCTGAAACCCCCTAGTGCTGAAACGCCTGAATTGTCGTTCTTATCTTTTTTCGCGAAAATTTTCAATGTGAATTTGGAGAAAGATTTTAAGCCTCTTGAAATACAAGGTTTGGCTATTTTATTAGTTCTATGGTTCAGATGTTCGTCTCATGCTCAAAACGAAGCTAAAAACATTAAGACATCGCCGGTTGCACTTGCGCTATCATGTTGTACAATCGCAATGAATTCAAACCGTGAGTTTCTTGGTAGAAATCCTGATGGTGATGGAGGTTTTGTTAACTCTATTCACACACATCTCGATAAATGTGCTGATGTGGCCAAATCAACTTGTTGTCAAGAGGTAAATAAACGTTGCTTTTGTATTGAGCAAGTTCACCAACTTAATGAATTGCAACATATGGCCACTGGATTAAAGCATTTAGTTGCAATGATTGAGGTGCTTTGTCCGTTTTATATGTCAAATAGTAATAAGTTTGATGGTTGTTCACATTTCAGAAATCCTTTCATAAGCTTTTATCCATTCTGGATGTTATTTGCCAGTGGACGTCTTTTATATTGGATTAGTCGACTTCTACAAAATATTGATCCATCTGAACGTTTCCATAAAGTCATGAGTGAGTGGCTTCCAAAATTGCTTATAAGAACCAATTCTGTACGTGAACAAGAAGATTGCGCCTCAAAAGATCTTACCAAACTTTTCAACCTAATTGATAAGTTGAACTGTTAAGATTTACTCACGGTTAGGTTTCTATTATCGACGTTTTGTTATTTGTTTTATTATTTCTGATAGACTGTCACTTTTTATTTATAAAAACATACACACGCCACACTTGGATGGTTTGTTGTCGTAACTAATTCTTATGCCATACTTGCACACCTATTTTCCTAATAACTAGAATCATTCAATTATTTTAATATACATTTCATCAATTCATGCTACGTCTTTATTTTTGTAAAAGTAGTAAAGATGTGAAGAACGAAGAAAAAAGTCAGTTCCCAGAAAGACCTACTTCATATTCTATGAAAACTACTTCCCCAACTACTTGGATGTAATAAATTGTTGACTATGGTGTAACTGGGCATGTTAACGTCAGCCTCATTGATAACAGTCGATATGTCTATGTATTTCGTGTTTATTACACTAGATGATTGCTTCGAAGTATTTGCTGACGTTGTCTAGGTGGATGATGAATGTCTCACGACCAAACCATCGAATTCAGAGAGCACTACATCTCCGAAATGTTGATCCTGGGCAGGGCTAAAAGTACTCCTCATTACATTTGTTTATGTTTGTTTCTAACTAGACTAAATGGACAGTGCAGAGTTATATGGATTTGGCTTGCCTAGGTAATTTACCTTGTATGATATTTTGTCCAAGTTATGGTTGATGCGATTATAGGTTGCGAGTTGTCTCGAGATGAAATCTGGCTCGAACTCTTCGATGTTACGAATACTCGTTTGGCTTCGTATTCCACCACAGTTGTTTGTCCCATATGCATAATTATGCAAGCGCTAGTTGAATGGACACCGTAGAAACAAACAAGAAAGAGTATAATGCTGTCCAAGAACTTATGTCTTATAGGAAGAGGGTTATAAGTCTCATAGTCTGTCGCTTGGTAGGCATAATGACTGATATCTTCCTCATGGTTTCGCGAAAACGGTTGCACCGCTGTGTCAGTTCGCTGTCTGCTAAATGAAGTGATACTAGGCGGGTACAACTGCCGTCGTCCGGTAATATGTTGCCAAAGAACACCGGCATGTGTCCGTAGATTTGATGTTTGTTATAAACTCCAAATAAGAAAATGAGCAAGATCGCAGCTAAACTCTATTTGCATCTTGTACTAGATAAGCCACTCCTAAAATTTGAGCGATAACGTACTGGCATTTCCAGGTTCATACAGCATTATGTACATAATCAATGCATAACTTGAAAACCAGACATCTTGTTGTATGTAAACGATGTGGCGAAATTAAATGTAACGAAACCGTGAAGTTATTGCATATGTTCCCTGTGAAATCTAAGTGCCTCCAAAAGAAGATATGGGTGAAGTTTCTAAGCTGCATTACACTTGTCTGAAATCACTACTGGACCCTGCTCGATTGTTTTGTCCTTCTTCACGATACCAGTGAGATGTCAACTCAGGCACCTACTTGAACGAGGTGAAGGCAACACATACCAAAATACTCTAATCGTTGGGCTAATTTCATTTTCGGCATTTATTTTCACTCTTAATGAGAGCAAATGTTTGTACGCTGTCCTTGCTACAACAATAACACATGTGAACACGATTATTACAGCACCTAGAGATGATAAAAAGCAGCTGTGATTTTGGTAGGCGAATGAAATACAGGGCTTAGTTAAAAATAAATAAATAACAATACAGTCAGTCAGCTAGATGCATCGGTCCTAGTTGTCACACTTCATTAGCACAAAAAGGTGAACGCCAAATTCATGATACTTACTTCCATGGTAGTAATACATAGAAGGAAGATCGCATATAAGGATATGGTACAGGAAGAATTACTTCGTAGGAAGATATAAATCAATTTTTAATTTCACGGTTTAAAGGACGATAGAGTGTATACACACACACCATTGTGACCGATTCTGAGCCATGTCACCCAGTCTCCAACCATTGGTTACGATACTCACGCGGACTCCAACCAAGTTGTCTGCATCTACCAACATGGCTCAGATTAAAAGTTAGTGACTTCAAGCACTGATGCCACGTTTTGGTTTGAACACTCCCAAATTTCTTCCATCTGTCCCCCACACTAGTCAGCATTGTGCGTCGTGCTAATCAGTGTTCAGGTATGCATAACGTGTCCCAACCATCTCAGTCGATGAAGATATACAATCTCGCTAGCTGACTTACCATCATTCCCTAATAACCTGCGTCTAACCTCATTATTACTTACCCGGTGATCCCAGCAGATGCGACCATTATTTTTAAGACATCTGTGATTAAATGCTAGTAGCCTACGAGTATCTTCTACATCTAATGACCACATTTCTCAGCCGTAATGTAGAACAGAACTGCCGAGCAGTATACTTGTCTCTTAATTGATAGACAGATATCTCCTTCGCCACAGGTGACGTAAATTGGCAAAAGTCAAGCGAGGCTTCCGAATCCGTGCAGAGGTTTCGTCAGACACCAACACATTTGGGCTGATCACACTCCCAAGTGAAGTTGTCAATGCGTTTGACTACTTCACTCCCTATCCTTAGTTCAGGTGTTCACACAGGGCAGTCCTGAAGCAACAAACTGCACTTGGGGGTGAAGAAACGCATCTCAAACATTCTAGCACCGTTGCACAGTACTACCAAAAGACTGCATTTTGTCAGCGCCTTAACCGGACAGAACTATGCCATCTGCGTCCTGGTAGGAGATCAGTGCCCGAAAATTCAGTCGACGAGAGCGTGTCCAACCAGTATGTCCATGAAGTTAAATAAAAATGGAAAAAGTAGGCAATCATGACGGACACCACTTAAGGTTGCAAAAGCAGATGACAGTTAGCCATAAAGTCTCACTCGACTAATAGTGCTTACCGTGGACTTCGACCAAAACGATGTGCTTAAGGCTCTTAGCACCCTAGATATGGAAAAGTCAACAGGACCTGATGAACTACACCCTAAAATCTTGAGACATATAGCCCAATATATCGCAGCCCCACTGACTGTGATATTCAAAATGTCACTTGACCAAGGTGTGTTACCTATGGACTGGAAGGACGCAATCGTCACTCCCATACATAAAACAGGTCCACGACAAGTTCCATCGAATTACAGACCCGTAAGCCTCACCAGTGTTGTAATTAAAATACTGGAAAGAATAATCAAACGGACCATAACGGTATTTATGGAAACAAATAACTTGATGAACATGGCACAACATGGTTTTAGAAAGGGTCTATCCTGTACAACGAACCTCCTTTTAGCTAGGGAGCTCTGGATTAATGCGCTAGACAACGGAAACTCAGTGGATGTTGTCTACATAGACTTCAGTAAGGCTTTTGACAAGGTGCCAACTAATAGACTGCTATTGAAGTTGGCAAACCTTGGTATTGCCGGACCTCTTTTAAAATGGATTAAGGATTTCCTAGTAGGTCGTAGGCAAAAAATAAGAATAAATTCCAAGTGCTCCACCTGGAGACCAGTACTTAGTGGGGTACCTCAAGGTTCAGTCCTAGGTCCTTTACTTTTTATATTGTACGTTAATGATCTTACAAGTATAGTACAGTCTCCAATGTTATTATACGCTGACGATGTAAAAATTTGGCGAGTAATAACTGGAGAAAAAGACGCATTTACTCTTCAGGCGGACTTAAATAATATGATAAACTGGTCTAAAGAGTGGCTGATGCCTGTCAACTCGGAAAAGTGTGTCTACATGCACTTAGGGGATTCAAAGGTTAATACATACAACATAGGGGATGTGTCATTGCCCGTAGTCCGGTCTCATAAGGATCTAGGGGTGACAGTGAGCAATGATCTTAAGACGACGGCCCATTGCCGGGAGGTCGCGGTTAAGGGGTTTCGAACCATAAAGTCTCACTCGACTAATAGTGCTTACCGTGGACTTCGACCAAAACGATGTGCTTAAGGCTCTTAGCACCCTAGATATGGAAAAGTCAACAGGACCTGATGAACTACACCCTAAAATCTTGAGACATATAGCCCAATATATCGCAGCCCCACTGACTGTGATATTCAAAATGTCACTTGACCAAGGTGTGTTACCTATGGACTGGAAGGACGCAATCGTCACTCCCATACATAAAACAGGTCCACGACAAGTTCCATCGAATTACAGACCCGTAAGCCTCACCAGTGTTGTAATTAAAATACTGGAAAGAATAATCAAACGGACCATAACGGTATTTATGGAAACAAATAACTTGATGAACATGGCACAACATGGTTTTAGAAAGGGTCTATCCTGTACAACGAACCTCCTTTTAGCTAGGGAGCTCTGGATTAATGCGCTAGACAACGGAAACTCAGTGGATGTTGTCTACATAGACTTCAGTAAGGCTTTTGACAAGGTGCCAACTAATAGACTGCTATTGAAGTTGGCAAACCTTGGTATTGCCGGACCTCTTTTAAAATGGATTAAGGATTTCCTAGTAGGTCGTAGGCAAAAAATAAGAATAAATTCCAAGTGCTCCACCTGGAGACCAGTACTTAGTGGGGTACCTCAAGGTTCAGTCCTAGGTCCTTTACTTTTTATATTGTACGTTAATGATCTTACAAGTATAGTACAGTCTCCAATGTTATTATACGCTGACGATGTAAAAATTTGGCGAGTAATAACTGGAGAAAAAGACGCATTTACTCTTCAGGCGGACTTAAATAATATGATAAACTGGTCTAAAGAGTGGCTGATGCCTGTCAACTCGGAAAAGTGTGTCTACATGCACTTAGGGGATTCAAAGGTTAATACATACAACATAGGGGATGTGTCATTGCCCGTAGTCCGGTCTCATAAGGATCTAGGGGTGACAGTGAGCAATGATCTTAAGACGACGGCCCATTGCCGGGAGGTCGCGGTTAAGGGGTTTCGAACCCTCTGGGCTTTAAAAAGGACATTCACTAAGTTTGATACTACCATGTTCACCACATTATACATATCCTTAGTGAGAACTAAGTTCGAGAACTGTGTTCAGGCTGCAAGCCCCTGTTTAAAAGGTGACTCAGACATACTAGAAAAAGTGCAGAGGGCAGCTACGCGTGCGATTCCGGAACTCCGGGGTTTATCATATAAAGAGCGGCTTGAAAAACTGGACCTCTTTACTCTGTCCTATCGCAGACTAAGGGGAGATCTAATATTGATGTACAGAATATTGAGACATGATTTCGGACCTAACTTATTCTCTCTTTTTCTTCCCACTAGATCGGGACACCTCAGAGGACATAGCAGGCGAGTGGAAAAG